GAAACGAAACCGTTGAAAGAATGTGGCTATATAGATTTTGTTCCAACTGTGTTTCCAACTGTTTTCTTGTTTTTCAATTTCAAACGATAATTGGGACATTGTTACCCCCGTCAAGAAAAGTGTGGTCGCTAGGATTTGATTATAATCGCGCTGGAATTTTCGCGACTTGGTGATCTGAAAGTGATCTCTTTCTAAAAGTTTGTTTATACAACTCCGTAGAGATTCATACCAAAGTGAACGGACATCCTGATCTAGCGGCATCCACGTTGCATCAAAACACTTTGTATTGAATATTCTCTTAATTGTTCAAGATTGTTTTCTCTTTTTTTAGTAGATTGCGCGCATAAATAAAAACAGTAATTCTTCCAGTTATGTTGTTTTGATCGTCGCATTTTTAAATGAAATTGCTTTGAAATTAGATCAATGGATAAATGCACAAAAAATTAACGGTCGAAAAGGACCACCAACTGTCCTAGAAGAACGATAAAGTAACCAGCGGTTCTCTTTGCGCTTTTTGAACAAAAGGACGATAAGCGAACCTTTCGCAGCCCCGCCGCTTCAGTGACGCTTCAGAGCACACACAGAACCGACATCTACATACGCTAACTTTTTCCGATCTGATTTCGGATGATCTAAACTATTCTCAAAAGCGCGTTACACGCATTTCCCACTCGCACTGCACACGACGCACGCGCGTTTACTGTCAGAGTATGAGGCCTTCAAGTAACACATGGATTAAACTTAACCATGGCGCCTGAGGTATCTCAGAAAACTAAAAACCGATCTCTTAAATATATGGTATTGTATTTGGCCTGCCGTTGAAAATTGGATTGTTCTTTTTCTACTTGTGGTAAAATTGGAATTTAGAATTTAAACTTCTTGTTCCATATGAAATCTTAAAACATCATTGTTCCACGACAACGGGGTTTATTGGCCATAACGCGCGACTGTCGAGCTTACATGACTTCTCTCATACACACTTTCCGTATTAGCTTTGTGACTGTAATTTTTCACTGAAGTACCCCTTTCTTTGAAACCTCACTGCATTTCTATTTTCTAACACCGCCAATTGGGCGATAAATTATGCTGTCGTTACTACCACTTTTTTTTCGACTTGTCATGTCACAGAAAGGTTCTAAAATTTTATCCATGAAAAAAAATTGGACAGTTGGCCGTGTCCAAAAATGGGGCGCATGGTGAAACAAAAGCACGAGAACCAACCTCGTTCCCAGGGTCTCTCAACTTTCTGTCCCTCTCTCGCTCTTGGGGGCAGAAGATGAGAGACCCTGGGAATGAGGTTCATACAAGAGCCCGCTCTCAGGCTAAACAGGCAGCAGTAGAGAGATCATTTAAATATAATGCACTTTGAAATTGAGCAGAGAAAGTCATCCAGGATTCCATTTGTTTTTTTTTTATTTAAACATATTTATTGGACAAAGTTTACCCTAAGAGTAAAAATGCTCATTGAGAGGGTTTACTTTGAAATACCATCGAATAAAAAAAAAGTTACAGAAAATAATTAATAGTCAAAGGGGTAGAACAATAGAACATTTAACAGTAGAACGGTAGAACAATAGGACATTTAAACAGAGCTGACAGATGGTAAATACACATTAAGTACTTGGACAAAATCTCTTAGATCCGGATATAAACGAGTGGACATGGAAACTAACTCGTTATTTTGCTTCTGAGAAAGTAACTGTGAACCAGAAAGAAAAACTGACACAATTTGTGCTTTACACATGGAAGACCACCTGTCAGCTAATAATAATATGCAAACAGCAGAGGAGAGCAGTTTGGTTCTAGGGGTAGAATAAAGTGGATATTCAAGGAAAAAATGCCTAACAATCTCGTTGTAAAAACCCCAGACACATGGGTCTTTCTTTACAACCTATTTTAAAAAGATAATAGTTAAGTGCGCAGGTGTCTAAACGTAAAGGAGTGTGGAAAATTGCATTGAATCTATAAATAGCAAAGTCTTCATATAAATAGCATTATAACTAGGCACATTAAAAAAGGAAAATAAAGCTTTTTTAAAAGAACTAATGGACTTGAGACAAAGCATATCAATACTAATATCATTCCACAAGGTAGTAGATGAAGGGGAAAAAGATCTATTAAAATGCTCAGTGCAACATACAAAAAGAGAGTGATTTAATGCCATACGTAAGGAGTAATTTGTTCTTTGACAACTTGTAAAGGTAATAAATCAAATAGATAACTAGGACAAAAATTATTGACAATCTTAAAATATAACAACAATTTATGAATGGCTCTCCTAGTTTTAAGATCTTCCAACCCAATTTCTTGCCTAAGGCAATGCTTACTGGTCCCCTTCATGGCCCCAGTTACGATTTTACCTGCCTTGTTTTGCACATGCTTGAGGAGATCACTCTCACTTTTAGTACATCCACCCCACAACACATCAGCGTATTCCATTAGGGGGCACACCAGTGATATATGCAGTTTTCTTAAAGTAGATCTATCAACCTTGTACTTTCATACCTTTTAGAATATCAAGCTTTCTAGCTTTCTTTCCATTGGATTTTATCCCCTAAGCTCTGTGATAGGTCAAGAAAACTTGCGCTACTCTCTAAACCAATCAGAAATGAAACAAAAACCAACCATGACTCTGAAATTGTCGCATTCCCAACCTTCATCCAAATTTCTGGTTCCTTGTAAAATTTTCCTTTACTCTGATTGGTTGTTGTGAGTTACTCTGGCTTTGGTTTCTTGTCACACAGTTGATAAGCACTCTAACTGCAACACTTTATAACATAACCAAAGTAAAGCATACATTCTGATTGGTCAATTCAGCGTCCACCATTTGCCCATGGGTGTACGCTGCTGATAAGAGCAACTGCAAAGGCTAGTTTTCTTTGCATGCTTTATTTTTCTGGTCACATAAGATTTGTTAATTAAAAGAAAACTCTTTTGCTACAATGTATCAATGTTATGTTATAAAACAAATGGTAAATGCCACAGTGCACACTATCGAGTTATGGATGCACTTGGGAGGTTTACTAGGCACTCAAGAAGCTAGAGTCACTCTCGGCTCAACTCTTACGCTTCTTTCATGCTTAGCAACCTCCTATGTACATCCATAACTCAATAGTGTACAGTGGTGTTTACCATTTCTTAAATACTCTAAATTGTGAGAATTCTAAAAATTACCATGGAGAATTTTCAAAGTGAAGAGCATCTGATTTATTTCAATGCTTAAGTCCTTAGGACCAAGAAAGAGTTTGAATAAAATTACTAAAATAAAAAACATTTTTCTAGTCTCTGTTAAAATAGCCAGTTTACCAAATAAATGAAATTAATTTCATTACAAATTATACTCCCTTCAAAGGCATTGATTAAAGCCCCCAAAATCAGAAGGAAAAATCTCATTATGTATTTTAATACTGTTTCCTTAGCAAACATAAATTGGTGAATTTAGGGGAGAGCTCCTTGTTTCAGAAGGGCTAAAGCAATAATAAAATTTAAATGATCTAATGTTACCGTTCCCTCCCCCTTTCTTGATATCAATAAACTTCTGAAACAGTGTTAAGATATTAGAGCTAAACAGGAATGCCAAACATAAAGTGAATCTTTCACTGACTTTGAGAGTTATCTGATAGCAATGCATTAATCATTAACTAAATAAGCTATGCTACTTGATAATGCTGATAGTCTAAAGCAAGAATGTAAACTAGAGTTTGTGTCATCAACAGTTTGAACAAAATCACATGACAGAAAAATTGATGAGATTTGGAGATGATCAAAATTTGGAGCCAACAAGTTAAACCCACCCCTCCCCTCCCTCCTAACAAAACAGACACTTAGCCAAGCATCCACCCTCCATCGATGATATGCTCACAGCCAGTCATGTAAGGTGCCTCATCTGAAGCAAGGAAAACAGACAGTTTTGCGATTTCGTCAGGTCTTCCCAACCTTCCCTGTTTCTGCCGAGCCAGGAAATTCTTCATGGCTTCTTCAGGGTCTGGGGCACTGTTGATTCGTTGTCGCAGTGAAGGAGTATCCACTGTGGCCGGGCAAATGGCATGGGTGCGAATTCCCTGTGCGGTGAAATCAGCCGCAAGTGCTTTAGTGAAGGCGATGACCGCACCCTTTGTAGTGCTGTACACAAAACGATTCGGAACTCCCTTAATGCTCGAAGCTACAGAAGCCATGTTGATAATCACCCCTCCACCATTTGCGAGCATGATGGGGAGAAACTGCCGAGTCAATCGATACATGCTCTTCACGTTTATATCAAAGGAGAGGTCCCAGTCTTTCTCCTCGCAGTCCAAGATCGATCCATTATGAACATACCCAGCGCAGTTAAAGAGCACGTCTAACTTGGAGAAATCTGTGACCAGTTCTTTAATCGCGTCGTAGTTGGTCACGTCTAAGATCTTGGTTCTTACTCCTTTGACAGCATTGAGTTCGGCGAGTTTTTCGCCGTTAATATCGGTGGCTAAAACATTAGCACCCTCCTTAGCAAATTCTTCGGCAACTGCACGACCGATTCCTTGCGCTGCTGCGGTGACAATGATTTCTTTGCCTTGCAAACGACCGTCGGGCATTTTGAGCTTCTGGGTTTGCGTGACTTTTTAGCAGACGGAGCAGACGTGGAAAAGAGGAAACATGTGACTTTTACTTGTGTGCCAACTATTTTCAGCGGACTTGTTGATAAAGGATTTATTGTGGTGTATTCATTGCCTAATGTCTCTTCATTTTCCAAGATGGACGCCAGTTTGGAGAAGTTATTGCAAGATGATGGTAAATTCTTTCAACCTGGTGAAACCTTTTTTACAGGATAGAATGCTCAAAAAAGTGTTTTTTCTTCCAGAAACATTCAAGCAATTCTTGGAGGATAATTTTGATGATAGGACATATGCAAACAACATTATTCAAAGTCGCGCCATCAGCGAGTCGCTTGCCAGGTTGGCAGATGGGATAAACCTTTTGGACAAAGAACTTCACGCGCAGGTTTGCTGTTTAATTTGTCACAAAATTTTAAAGCTACAGTTTTATAAAAAAAAAAGGTAATTATTAAATTTTGACGAAAATGTATCGTTGTTTTGTTCAGGACTGCTGATGTGGACAATAAAATCTGCATGCATGCATAATTGCTATTTTCACGAATCATCGTCCCATGCCACACAATTTTTGGTTCGGTTTGAACAGATGAAAATGATGGCTTGATTGCAAAATCAAATCAAGTTGTTTGTGGCTCTTGCTAACATTTCTATCGTTGAAGTTAGCAAAATCGAGATGACTGCACGTTCTTTATGCAGTTTTTGTTACAGATTGTTAAGATTTATATTTGCAAAACTGTAGTTGGTAATAAATGTTGCTTTTCAGTTTTTATTAGGATTTATTAGCTTTTTATTAATTTTCCAGGTTGTTGAGCATCATGAAGATCTTCTACAACAGGCGACAGGAATTGAAACATTAGAAGGTTAGTGACATGATAATGGCTAATTTTTAATGTTAGAAAAACCTAGCAAGTCATTTTACAGAGTTATACACCAGTAAGTTTTGCAAGGGTCAAAGGTAAATCTTTAAGTACTGTACAGGTGGTATGGCTTGCTTTCTTGATATATAACTCTTTCTTTTCTTCTAGCTCAACCTATTTTTCATTAAATAAGTACTCTTGTTTGGTAGAAATTTATTTTTTGAATTTTTACAAAATGTTTCATTTCATTAGGTGTCCTACAGATGATGCAAACCAGAATAAACTCATTAAAGGCTTCTGTTGAAAGGCAAGATTGTAGTACCCTTGTCACATTCATTGGAAGTAATTAAAATAATGATAGAATTGCATCTTTGAATAAAATCTTGCATTCTGATCGGTTAACAAGTGAGGTATTTAGCATGGAATTGCGAGTTGAAAACGAGGCTAAGTGATATGATTTCACCTCTACATATACATAACAGCTGTAAGTAATGCTGTTTTCTTTTTTTCTTGTTTTTATCCAATTATGCGATTCAAGGAAAATTCATTGCTTGACTTGTGAATTCCACGTTGAAATTGCACTTGAAAACTGATATCACACTCACTGCTTTGTGATTTGTGCGATATCGCTTTTTGCATGCAATTTAATGCAGAATTTGCTCATCAAGTTATGAAACTTCTTATAAAATCATAATATTTCTTAGTAATTAAAGTCTGATCAGTTTTTCTATTTTGTCCAGAATTCAACAACATGTTGTGGAACCATATTTCAAAATTCAATCAAGGACAGCCCAACTACGTCGCCTTCAGGTATTTACTCCTTGACAAATTAAACTGTGAAAAGTGTGTGTGAAATTGTGATACATCTCCTAAGGGGCTGAAAAGGAGAATTTGTTTGATATTCAAGAGCTTCTTTAGTTGGTGATCATTTCTTTTATTTTTATGACCTTAATGTTTGCTTCAGAGGTGATATTGTTAAGAAAATTAGATGCTAGTCACTCTTAGAGCTCACAGGGTCAAAATATTTATCATAGTTATGGTTCATATGATGCACGATCCTCGCAGTAGATAGTGCTATTTAAGCAATAGCGAAAATCAGACCTGAAAAAAATCAGGCCTATACGGGATTCGAAACCCGTGAAAGTGATAAATCAGATACAATGAAATATATGAAGTTCATATATTTTGAACTGCGGTATTAGATATGTCAACTTAAGGGCCTGCTCCCAGTTGGCTTGTTAGCTCAATTGGTAGAGCGCTGCACTAGTATCGCAGAGGTCAGTGGTTCGAATCCCGTACAGGCCTGATTTTTTTTTCAGGTCTGATTTTCGCTATTGCTTAAATAGCGCTATCTACTGCGAGGATCGTGCATCATACGTATCTAATACCACAGTTCAAAATATATGAACTTCATATATTTCATTGTATCCGATAGTTATGGTTATGAGTCAAAATTGAAATCTACTTCTATTTTCCTGAAAACTGAATTATTTTCCTGTTGAATGTGTAACAGGAAGCCTGTGATATCTTGAGAAGAGTTATTAGAGTCCTTTATCTGACCAAACGGCTTCAAAGTCAACTTCAGGGTGGTACAAGAGAAATCACTAAAGCTGCTCAAAGTCTCAGTGAACTGGGTAAGGAAGAAGGAAAAAAAAGAGATAATTACTTGTTGTTAATTCATGAAGTTTATCTTTAGATTTTGTGTTAAACAGCATGCTCCATGCATGTTTTTGTTGTTGTGATTTGATCTATCTGTTAGTGGGAGAAGTATAAGCAACCCTCAACTGTTAAAAGAATGTCATTCCTAAATAGGTCCTTCAAAAATCCACAGTTTGTATCTGATGTTAGTTTTGGGGATCACTTCATCTTTCAGATTACCTTGTCCAAGGAGCAGACCTCTCTGGAATCCAGGTAACAATAAGCCTTTCACTCATGCTAATTATGTACAATGCTAACTCATTCTTAATGCAAACTCATGCTTAATGCAAACTCATGCTTACTGCAAACTCATGCTTAATGCAAACTCATGCTTAATGCAAACTCATGCTTAATGC